TTCTTGAAGGAGTTACTGCAAATGCTCTGTCCGTGAAATGCTGAGAACAAGTCGCAATTCTCAAGTTATTTCTGGTAGCAGTAGATGATGCCAGTAAAATAGGTATATTGGCTGCTTTGGATTCAGGATGACTTTTGGAGATTTCTTTTATTTCATTGCTATCAACACTAGAAAGGAATAAACAGGTCAACTTTTGTGTTTCGCATATGCATGTTTTTGACCATTTTGTTTGGCCAATCGTGATGAGATTGGTTCTTTATTAGTTGTGTATATTTCAAATATAATTTAGAATGTGATTAATATTTCGTGTACTACGTAGAACTAGTCATGAGGGTGTAAATATATTTCAAATTGATTTTAATATCTTGTAAAAGAAAAGCAAAAATATCAATTTTTGCAACCGAAATGAGGAGATACGTCAGATCTGGATGTTTAATCGCATACGATTTAGTGCATAAACTTTGCGGAAGTCGTTAAAAGTTATGCCCGTGTGTAGTTTTTGATAGAAAAAAGAAAGAAAATTTAAAATATTTATTCTAATTATTAAATACCAAAAATCTAAAATATGACATAGACTAGAAAAATTGAAGAAGGAAAAAAAGATTGAGGAACGGAATTGTTAAACCTATGGAAAAAGGAGGAGAATAATGATAGGTGGATGGAAAATTGTTGTTGAGAACTGAGAAGAGAGAGAAATGCCGGAGACTAAAGAGAAAAATCAGAAGACTTTTGACAAAGACAGTTGGAAAGGGTTTATTGGTAGGAGTGACATAGTCGCGGCAGATTTTCCATGGGTTTTAGTCACACAATCACACACACCTACATGGGTGTCTGTGAAATATGTGACTAAAAACCCCATGGAGACACTACCCCATGGAGTAAGATCGAATTTATCCATAGTCGCCAACCCAACAATAGGCCATCATTTGGAAAAGGTCAGAAAAAGATTTTGCAAGTATCAGCAAAGCAATTAACCGGACTAGTCATGGCCATTTGGCGGGTTGGGTCAGGGCCTAGCGGGTTGCCAAGCTTGAAAACACTAACCTAGAACCGACCCAAATGTAAGTGCATGCCAGTTTACTGGCTTGACTGTTCGAGACCGGTTCAACCCAGTTCCGGATTGGTCGGCCAGGTCCGGGCCCGTTCAGCCGGTTTCGGACTAGTTTCGGCCCGAACCAATTTTTATTTGGAAATTTTTTAGAAAGGGTGCGGAGAAGTTTAAAGAAATTGGTCTTGAGCTTAGTTGACATATTATAAGTTAAAATATTAATTAAGTTGAAAAATTTTTGGGTTACAAATGATGTTTTAGCTTGTAATATGTCAATTAAGTTGCCTACGTATCCGTTGCCTTGAGAATCAAAGTCCTTGTAGTTCTCTTACTATACTTACCTTGAGAAGAGTAGATGGCAAGCATAATTGAACCGACTGTCTAATCCTCATAGTCGTGTGTGTCGTAGTCCTCTTCATTTTCGGCGGTTCCACTAGTACTAGCAGTAAAATCAGATGCCTCATCGTCTTCGCCATCTTCGACGGTTAGCATGGCCTTTTATGCCTTCATTTCGGCCTTCTTCCAATCACTCAGCAGTATTTAAGCCTCCAGGTTTTATAGCGTCAACCTCTACCGTCGTGTGTCCAGTGTATATCCTCCCTCGTTGAATGCTTGTTCAACCACCACTGTTGATGTTGGGACAGCGAAATTTTTTCCGTGATCATCAAGCATGGAATTGGATAAATGGGAGACATCTTTGACCACCAATCCAAGACGTTGAATTTCTATGGCGGAACTGGTTCACGAGTAATAATAAGTATCAAATTCACCGTGAGATAGCGATCGAGCTCACCGTATCTATTCTTCTTTGCCCTTTGGATCTTAGTATTTTTGTAGGGATTGAAGTCATCCCACTAGTCATCAAAGTTTTGGGCTTGTTGTCTGTCCTCATTGTCTGGGCTTGTTGTCTGTCCTCATTGTCCATAAGAATTAAGAAGTAAACCCGGAAGCAGTTGAAGAAAATGACGTCGGATTTTCCCTGAGTCGGATTGTTGTTTTCCTAAACAATTCATACAATAAAAGTTTGTCTTGCTCGACGAGTTGCCATGGGTTAGGTCTTACACTGATAGTTAGGACATCATAACTGGAAAGTGGGAGTTGATACATAGTATCATAAGATGTGTTAAGTTGGTTGAGCAAGCCATTTTCACATAAGGACGGATCTAACAAAGCTGCAACTAAAAATGTATCGGAAATATAAAAAATAATATTTTAACCATTTTCTTGACATATCTCTTAGCCCATGTTTGTTTTCTAGGATGAGATTGGACTAAAATAGTGCAGATATGAAGAATTGTACTTTTTGGATAAATATAATTCTATGTTTGCTTTATGAGATAAAGATTAGGATAACTTTATGTTTAGAAAGAAAAAAAATTGTGTATGTCACCACAATTCAAATATAATTGTGTAAAGTACTCTTTTACCCCTCTTAATATCTGTAAAAAATCTTTTTTGGGGGCAAAAAAATAATTCAACAAGGTAGGATTGGAATAATCTCACCCTGTACTTGGGATTTATTTATCCCATGAATAGGGGATAAATGCTATTTTTATCCCGGGCTGACCCAATCCCGCGGGCCTCAGTCCATAGAACCAAACACAGGATTGGGCCTGGATTAGGCGGGATATCCTACCTAATCCTAAAAAACAAACATGGGCTTACACGTTTGCAATGTAAGTCACAATCACTAGTAAAAATATCTCTAAAATCCTACATTAGAGCTACACATTGACTTATACAAGTTGAGCAGTAGAATAGTAAACACCAGAAAGTACATTTGTAGTATTTTGAAAATTTTTTAATAATTGCATAAGTGCGTGGCAATTAACCCAATCTAGGGTGGTAATGGTGACATCACAATCCTTACGTTGAAGACTACGAAAAAATTCCTCAACTTGATGAGAAAATGCATATGTTTTCGATAACATTTTATAAGTTGAGTTTCAACGAGTAGGAACGTCTTGTTAAAATTTTTTAGGTGTAAAACCTAGCTCTTTACAATACTTTCCTCATTTTTTCATTTCTTGCGGACGTCTATGTAATAAGTAACGACACTACTAATGGGCATGACCGTCTCTTACAAAGCATGATAACCTACTTAAACACAAAGATTAAAGACATGACGCATACATAGAATATGAAAAAAAATTCCCCTTTAAAGAGGACGACAATTTTTCTTAAGCTCGGGTATGGATGCAGTATTAGGACTAGCATTAACAAAAAACATAGATTTTTTCTTTTACCAATATTATAACTATTCACGACACGTGAAATTAAACGAGCGATATTAGAAGCAGTGTGAGCATTAGGAAATCCCGTATAAGCAATTAAACGTTTTTGTAATGTATAATAAAACTATCATCTACCCAATTACAAGTAATTCTATTGTAAAAATTATCTTGTCAATGGTCGGACCAAATGTAACAATAAGTATAAATTATTTTGTTTAAAATATCAAAAATTTGCACTAAAATTAATTTTTTCTCATTCACAATTTTCCTGACTTTTAAGAATCTTTGGCCCACATTTAATAGTATGTATGGCAAACCGCGCAAAAGAGTGCTAGATGTTTCATCATGTTAATTAACTAAAACATTGCATGATCTTATTCTGCTTATGTATAAACTAAAACCAATTTTTTTTTTTTTAATTGGGATTTTACGAGTGGTTAGCATGAGCATCAAAGGTTCTAAAGACATGTGATTTGGGTCATCATTACAGAAGGTGTATTTAAATTTTACACGCACTTGGTCCTACATACAAATTTGTTGCATTTTTTTTCTTCTGGAGTGAGAGCTAAGTATTGAGTTTTACGTTGATATTTTTAATAAATTTTATTTCCTGATTCTCGGATATAAAGAAAATAAACGATTCATACTTCTAAGATGTAAAATATATATACTTTTTCAAAGAAGTTTTCAAAGAAAAAAAAAAAAGAAAAAAGAGTAAATGGAGTACAAACTTTAATTTGATCAATAGTATTCAGAGAGGATTTTTTAATGATTCATTACATAATACATATTCATCTATCTTTATACTTGTTGATTATGAAAGTTAGCTGCAATTTTTGTGTAATTTATAAATTCTTTCAAATCCTTAGGAGCTATATATTACGCAATGTTTTAAATACCACACCTTACCGCAAGTATTACCCGTGGTTCGGTGTGACAACCCTTTAAAAACTATTTTTTTTTTTTAAGAAAGTTTACACCTAGAAAATTCCGGTATATATACAAGTTTTCTATTTTATAATTTTTTTATTAGTTATATATTTATCAAAATTTATTACATAAGTTGAAAGTACTGCACATAATTTAATATGCGTATATTGTTAATAGGTTTTAATCAATTTTGGTACTTGAGAAAGTTGATTATACATTATTTATATTATAATAATAAATTTAATTAATATTTATTAAAATCAATAAAATAAATAGTTGTCCGTACGATATTTGCAGTATTATTACTCTTCTAGGTGTCTTATATAAAGAATACCATGATCATGAAGTTTATTTTCAGTATTAGTCTTCTAGTTGTCCTACCAGCACAAATATAAAGTATACCATAAAGTTTAAGGGGTGATTGATTTTGGTGCCAAACACTATCATAAATAAAAAATTTAGTCCTGGCATTGTGGTACAAATTAATTAATGTACGATGAATATAATACACACAAGTGAATGTGTAGGCAATGATGTAACTGAACATGCTTAGGGATTTGAGTTCCAATAATTACACCCCAAACTCATGAAGTTGTAGCCTTGTAGGCCACCAAACGTGTTAATTTGAAAAGAGAATGAAGTATTTATGAGAAACACACTTTAATTATATTTTTCTATTTACGGGGATTCCTTATTAGTTCACTACAAAAAAAATGTTATATTCCAACGGAAAATTCTATGGTAATATATTTCAATGGAAATTTCAACGGATATTCCAATAGTATAGCTTCCGTTGGAATGATTCCAACGGAAATTCCAACGAACATATTCCGTTGGAATGTATTTTTCATTGGAATTTTAGATGGAATTTGATGATTCCAACGGCTATATTTCCAACGGCTTTTGGCCGTAGGAATTTTCGTTGGAATATGCAATTTTCGTTGGAATTTTTATTTCCATCACCGTTGGAAAATCTACCGTTGGAATCGTCAAAATCCAACGGAAATTCCAATAGAAAACTCATTCAAACGGAATATTTTTGTTGGAATTTTCGTTGGAATTATTCCAACTAAAATAATAACATTGATATATACATTGGAATTGTCGTTGGAATTCTATGGGAATATAATTCCGTCGGAATTTCATCATTTTCTTGTAGTGGTTCACCAAATCAAAGTTTTGATGAAATGTATATATATCAAGTCTCACTTGATTAAGCGTATAAAAACAAAATTTT